AATGGAGTCTTGCTATGGTGGTGACAATGTGCTGGACTGCAAAGATGGCTTGACCCACAAGCTCACCATCCGCTCCTCAAAAACCCTATACTGGGTCGCTATGAGTTGGAACCGACTTGACGGCACACAACAATATCAATCTCTTGGTATATAAAAGAACAAATTCCACAAGCAAGCACAGAGTGGAAGATACTTGCCACATGGTCATCAAGGACCCTCCCCAGAGCAGAGGGGAAGGCTTTCCCTCAAACCAGTGCCTCCTAAACTGGCAGGGGAAAAGAGGTGTTTGTTACAACCATCGCCTGTGGTACTCCTGTTACAGCGGCAGGAGTACCACACCTGGCTATAATTATTCCCATAATAATGGCTAACAATTACCACCTACTCTTAAGAGATGCAGTGCTTAGTATTAGACTAGAGAGATCACACAGGACGGGGCGGCTATGCAGCAGGTACATCACAGGAATGTTTCTGGGCAGGATCTCATATACAAATAAATGGTCGAGCCAAGATTCAAATATAGCCTGACTCTAAGGCCGCACCTTGCTCCCTGGGACCCCTTGGATTTTGCAGCCCATAAGCCACAGGGTGTGAATGCATAGAAGGTGGGCTGGGAGGAAACCACCCCAGATGATAACAGGGTAAGAGAGCACCAGGGAGTCACTTTCCAAGCCTCTAGTTTTCTCTAAGGTAACAGTTCAGTATTTTTAAAGGAGAAGAATTACTCATGATGTGGCATTTTTTAGAATTAACTTTCCAGCAAAAAACCAAAGCCTGTTGCTATCCAGTCGGTTCCGCGTCAAGTCTACCCCAGTAGGACAGAGAACTGCCCCACAGGGTTTCCAAGGCTGAAAACCTTTACAGAAGCAGAGTGCCGCATCTTCCCCTGGGAACAGTGGTGGGTTCCACTGACCTTTCAGTTACCACCCGAGTGTGTAACCGCTGAGTCTTGAGGTCCTTAATTAACTTTCACTACTGGTGCTATGGGCTAATGTGCTGGACTCACCTGCTGCTCCTGAGAAACCCTTTACAGGCTCACTATGAGTGGGAATCGACTTGGCGGCACTTAACTACAACTATGTAAAGTAGCCCTGGTAGCGCAGTGAGTTAGGTGTTGAGCTGAAAACCGCAATGTCAAATCTACCAGCCACTCCACAGGAGAAAGATGAAGCTTTGTACTCACATAAAGATTTAGAGCCTGCAAAGCCCTATACAGGGTTGCTATGAGTTGTAACAGAATCCCGGGCACATAATCACCATCGGTATGTAAACTGGAGTCCTGGTGTGGTGCTGTAGGATAAGCAATGGACTGCTAACCCTGAGGTTGGTAGTTCAAACCCACCGGCTGCTCTTTATAAACCTCATACAGGGTCGTTTTGAGTTGGAACCGACTCAAACAGCACTTAGCAACAGTATGCAAATTGAGTCTTTGTGTGACACTGCAGACTAAGCACTGGACTGCTAACTGCAAGGTCTGAGGTTCAAACCCACCAACTGCTCCTTGGAAATCCTATACAGAGTCGCGATGAATCGGAACTAACTTAACAGCAGTTAACAAGTACTGAAAATAGGAGTTCCTGGGGGGCAGGCTCACATGGTTAAGCACTGGTGAAAGACTGAGAGTTCAAACCCAACCAGAGGCAACTCAGAAGATAAGCTTGGTGAACTTCGTCAGAAAGGCTAACCCTTGAAAACCTTATGGAGCAGGTCTGCTTTCTACACTTGCGGTCTCCATGAGTTGTTAGGATTTGATGACAACTGGTATGGCGCTGTGGGTTAAGGCGCTGGACTGCAAAGTTGTTTGAACCACAAGGTCAATGGTTCAAGCTCACCAGCTGCTCCTCGGAAACCCTACACAGCTGTGGGTTGGAACCGACTTGACAGCACTTAACAACAACCACAAAGTATGTAAATTCTACCTCAAAAAAGAAGGAAAAGTGATGGCAATTGAAGATGTTTGAAAACAATTAGTCCAACGGACCAATAAGCTAAGTGAACGTCAGTCTCCCACCACCCTGAGACCAAAAGCACTAGCTAGAGGTGCCTAGCTACCATAACCAAATGCTCTGAAAGACATCACATACAAAGTCCTGGACAGAGTGAGTGACAATGTGGAAACTTCAAAAGTATTTAAAAATTTTTTGAAAAGACAGGTCACTTTTCCTTTGCAGACAGAGGCATGCCACAGAAAGATGTTAACAAGTCAGATGCACCGGGCACCCTATTGCTGGAGAAACACACAGATTATATAGCATCCTATGGCTCAAAGAAAGATGATTATGAATACTATATGTCTGAATATTTGAGAATGAGTGGCCTCTATTGGGGTCTGACAGTAATGGATCTCATGGGAAAACCTCATCGCGTGGATAGAGAAGAAATACTGATGTTTATTAAGTCATGTCAACATGAATCTGGTGGAATAAGTGCTAGTATTGGACATGATCCTCATCTTTTGTATACACTTAGTGCTGTCTAGATACTTACTCTGTATGATAGTATTAATGTTATTGATGTCAATAAAGTTGTGGAATATGTTCAAAGTCTGCAGAAAGAAAATGGTTCTTTTGCTGGAGACATCTGGGGAGAAATTGACACAAGATTTCCTTTCTGTGCTGTGGCAATGTTGGCTCTATTGGGAAAGCTGGATGCTGTTAACGTGGAGAAGGCCATTGAATTTGTTTTTGTTATTTATGAACTTTGATGATGGATTTGCTTGCAGACCTGGTTCTAAATCCCATGCAGGGCAGATATATTGTTGCATAGGATTCCAGGCTATTACTAGTCAGTTAAACTCTGACTTACTCGGCTTATTACTAGTCAGTAAACTCTGACTTACTCGGCTGGTGGCTTTGTGAATGACAGTTACCATCAGGTGGACTCAATGGAAGGCCAGAGAAGTTACCAGATGTATGCTATTCATGGTGGGTTCTGGCTTCCCTAAAGATAATTGGAAAGCTTCACTGGATTGACAGGGAGAAACTTCAAAATTTCATTTTAGTATGTCAAGAGGAAGAAACTGAGATTCACAGACAGGCCAGGAGATATGGCAGATCCCTTTCATACTATATTTGGAATTGCTGGAGAACAGATGAAACCTGTTAGTCCTGTTTTTTGTATGCCTGAAGAAATGCTACGGAGAATGAATGTTCAGCCTGAACTAGTGAGCTAGAGTCCTTGAAGGAAAAGTTGCTGAATGTATAGTTTTTTTGTCATTTTAACATTTTTGTATTTGAAGTGCTTGGTCAGACTTAAAAATTAGTACTTTAAATTTGTTTAATATTATATATTGTTATGGTAATTTAATTGTGTAATTATATATACTGTAAAATAAAGATCTTTTATCCTATTTTTGGAGTCCTGGTGTGGCACTGAAGGATTATCACTGGACTGCTAACCCTAAGTTTGATGGTTCAAACCCACCAACAGCTTCTTGGAATTACATTTACTAAATCCTGTTTTAGTTTTCAGACTTTTCCTGCAGGCTGTTTTGAATATAATTTTGAGTAGTGTTTGAATTTTTTAATCCTGCTCATGTTAGTCATCAGTGATTAAATTTTTATCTAATGCTTTGTATGCTTCATTGAATTGTCATTCATAGTTCTCTATAAATAGAGCAAACTTGAAGACCTGTTTGAAGCCGTTTTTAAGGTCTGTTTGATTTTCCATGTATTCCCTTCATAATATTGTATAAACCTTGCTTTACATCCATCCACAGAGTGAATTATTTAAAAGTTGAGCATGAATAAAATTAGAGCTTAAAAAGGGTAAAAAAAAAAAAGGTCAGAAAGAGACAGGGCAGCAATTACACCTAAGGGCAAGGACAAAATTCCGAAGGGTTGGGAAGAGGACTAAAACAGGAAACACAGGGAGAAATGGGACTAAAAGGTGTTACATGGAGGGGACTGCAATCACTGAGGTGGAATGAACTCTATGATCTGCTGAATGTAACACTGATGATGTGTTCTGGAAACCTTCACTCCATCACAATAAAAAGTTAATGAAAAAAAACAAAAACTAAACAAGTGGTGATCTCTTGCTAATGATGTGTACATTAAACTGTTGAAGTTTGAGATCCATCACTTGAGATGTTTCAAAAAACAGATGGATTGATAGTTGGAAAGAGAGAAGGATGGATAAACAGTTAATAAAACAATATAGTCAAACATTATTGGTATTCCCCCCAACTTGGCTGGGCAGTCTCAGTGGCTTGGCATTTATGTAATGTGGTAGTTAAGTGATGATCCCTCGTGATATGACTTCCCATGGGCTGCAGAGCCCTAAATCCCATCACAGTCCTTACTTTCTGTAAGGGCGTTTCCCCGGAGTGTGGCCTGCAACATCTTTTATCTTACAAAGAGAAAAGGAGTGCTCTGGTAGCTCAAGGTCAGCAGTTCGAAACTACCAGCGGTTCCGCGGGAGAAAGATGAGGCGTTCTGCTCCCGTAAAGATTTACAGCCTCGGAAACCCTGTGCAGGGTCACTAAGAGTCGGAACCGACACCACAGCACATAACAACAACAACAGGGGACCTATTACCACCACTTCTGGTTAGCAGTCCCTTATTGATAAGTGCCGTCGAGTCTCCAACTCACAGCGACCCTGTATATGGTTTCATGGGCGCGGTTGGTGGATTTGAACCGCCGGCCTTGCAGCTCAAAGCGACTTTGCGGTCCAGAGCTTATCGTACAGCACCACACCAGGACTCCGTCCCTGTGATCATTCAGGGGGAAAGCTTAGAGCAGTGTCGTTCATATATAGTCAGCAGAATGCATACATGAACGACACTGTTCTAAACCCTTTACCTATACGATCTCAGGGAATCCCCACCACAGTCCCGTGATAGTGTTCTTTAAACCCATTTTGGAGCTGAGGAAATTGAGGCTCAGAGGGGCTGGCTAACTTGCTAGAGATCGGAGATCTGGGAGGGGCCCACGCCCTAACCCCAACAGGACAGTAGGGGGTGGGTTCCTCCCCTGCCACCCAGCCGGCCCCACTTACCGTGTAGATCGTCAAGTCGACGTGTCGCCACAGCCACTGGTCGTCCACCAGCCTCTTCCAACGATGACACACCCTGCTGGGGACCCGATGTTAGAACGACCCAGCCACGCACCTCCGAATGTGCCCCGCTCCCGGCCCTTCCTCCCGAGGAGTGGGGGTTGGGGGGAGGCCCGCACCTGGAGATGCGGATCCGTTCCCGAACCAGGAGGTAAGAGAAAATCTCCAACATAACAGAGTCCGGCAGGTCGGCAAAAGACGCCATGTTGCCACTGGAGTGGATGGACTTCCGCTTTCTGAAGGACAAGGGAGTTGGGGGTCTCAGGGCAGCCGAAGCAACAAGTATCGGGTCGCAAGGACAGCGAGCAGCACGGCAGCAGCGGCCTCCAGGCCTCAACCAAGACACTCAGATTTCCTCTCCTGATGACGTGGTAGACCCTGACCCAGACCAGGGAACCAGGACGAAAGACCCTGCAAGGAATAAAGCAAGTCTCTAAAAACCGAACTATAAAGGCCGGGATTAGGCTCCGAAGGCGGGAATAGAGTCAAGGGCGGAGCTGGAAAGGACAACCAATCCTGGCAGTTGTGACTGCAGCGTGATCGGGCGTTGGGGGCGGGGTTATAGGCGGGGATTGGATAAGAGGGCAGGATTAGAAGCCGTGACTTCACTCGAGGGGCGGAGTTAGAGGTGGGAACGAGTTTCCGAACGACCAACCCTGGGACCAACAGTGGCAGGTGTAACTGAGGCGGATTCTCAGGCAGGTGGGGGGTGGGGAGGGGGGGCTGGGAGGTGGGCGGTGGGGCAGAAAACCAGAAGATGCTGCCCACTCTCCCAAGGCGTGACGGGTAGAAACGAGGCTGGGGGCAGGACCATGAACTGAGGACGTGGCAGAGGGCGAGGTCTCTATCTTTTACTTTTTTGAAAACTTAATATAAAATGCCATTTTTATATATTCGTATTTCAAACCCGGAGTCCTGTGGTGGGGCGCTGTGGGTTCATGCGCTGGACCCTAGTTTGAACTGCAAGGTCGGCGGTTCAAGCTTACCAGTTTGCTCCTCGGAAACCCTATACAGGGTCGCTGTGGGTCGGAACCAACTCAATGGCACTTAATACCAAATTATTGACATTAAACCAATTTTTTTTTTTTTGAGTGGTAATTCTAAGAAAACTAACAACACAAGGGAAGTCGCGATCTGCTGAGTCGGAATCTTTGCCTGACGATGGCGTCCTTCGCTATGCGGTCTGGGAAGACCTTCAAACAGCGCCGCTTTGAGCAAAGGGTGGAAGATGCCCGCCTCGTGGGAGCGCAGCTTCCAATCAGAATCCCGGTGATGATAGAAAGATACAAGGGTGAGATGCATCTTCCTGTGCTGGATAAAACCAAGTTCCTTGGCCCAGATCACGTCAACATGAGCGAACTCAACAAAATCATTGGAACGCCGAAGGAACCTTCATCCTGTTGGTGGGCGGACCCAGGGTGGACACAGCGTGGTGAGTGAGCAGCTCCACACCAGTCTCTGAAGTGTGCGAGAGCGGGAAGGACGGAGACAGGTTCCTGTACAGGCTCGGTGCCTCTCAGGAGACATTTGGAGTGAAATCTACCGTGTAAGAATAGCAAAATGCTCTAACTCTACACTTTTTACATCCTTAATGAGGCTGGGACAGGGAGAGGTACGGTACCAATGAGAGCGATGCGCTCATCTAATCTCAGGGCACACTGCCGTAGTGCTTTCACCAGGGAGTGATAGGAAGTTGTTTTTGTACTTTATGTTGCAAAACCGAGCTTCAGATGGACACCTGCAGCTTCGGAAACTTCTGTTATTTAAACTAGGCTAGCTCAGGCAAGCCCCTTCTGTCTCCTTGTTTCCTGGTGGTTTCGAAGCCAGAAGGAGATTGTATCTAGGGTTTTCTCCCACCTGACTCCCTCTCTCTCTCCCCTTCACTTCTGTTTTTTGGGTGGGGTGGGCAGAAGATGGGTCTTAGGAACCCCCTGTAACTGAGCTGGAGCAGGGTCACCTAGGTTCTGCTGAACTTAAAAGTAGCCCCACCCACCCACCTAGAGTTCACAGGGGTGGGGAGGGGGCCATCATAGGAAGGGGGGGGGTTGCTTTAGAGAGTTTCCTTCCCTCAACATCTGCCTTAGTTGTCTAGTTCGCTAACAGAAATACCACAAATGGTGGTTTTAACCAACAGAAACTTATTCTCTCAGGGTTTAGAAGGCTAGAGGTCTGACATTAGGGCACGTTCTCTCTCTGTGGGCTCTGGGGGAAGGTCCTTGTCTTTGATCCCTTAGTCCCTGGTGATCATTAAGTGGCCTCTGTCTTCCCCATCTCGGCTTCTTCAATTCCTTGCTTCTTGTTGTTGAGTGTTGTTGAGTGTTGAGTGTTGTCGAGTCGGTTTCAACTCATAGCGACCCTGTATATAGGGTTTCCAAGGAATGACTCGTGGATTTGAATTGTCTCCCTCGCATTTCAAACCAACTTCGAGGTTCAGAGCTTTATCCTACAGCGCCACACCAGGACTCCATCTAGAGCTGCTAAAACAAATAGTGGACGGCTTTAACCAAGACAATTTTGTTCTGGTGTGGCGCTGAGAGATCATATGCTGGACTGCAAGGTCAGCGGTTCAAACTCACCAGCTGCTCTTCGGACACTCTATACAGGGTTGCTATGAGTCGAATCTGCCTCAACGGCACTTAACAACAACAACACAGTTTAGGCGGCTAGAGGTCCAAATTCAGAGTGCTGGCTTTAGGGGAACGCTTTCTCTCTCGGCCCTGTTCTCGGTTCAGCATCTGTAGCTCTTGTATTCCTTGAAGAGCTCCATGTGTCTTCGCATTAATTTTCCCTTGGATGTAGCAGCTTCCCAGTGCAGGGACTCCAGGGCCGAAGGATGCACTCCCGACTCTTCTTTCTTGGTGGTAATGTTATTATTAAGTGTCATCGAGTCAGTTCCAACTCATAGCAACCCTGTATAGGGTTTCCAAGAAGCGACTGGTGAGTTTGAACTGCCAACCTTGTGGTTCAAACTTTCAACAGCACCACACCAGGACTTCTTAAGTGCTGTCGAGTTGGTTCTGACCCATAGTGACCATGTATAGGGTTTCCGAGGAGTAGCTAGTGGGTTTGAACCACTGGCCTTGTGATTCACAATGCAATGCCGATCCTACAGCGCCTCGCCAGGAATCTACCTTGATGGTAACAGATTCTCTCTTTCTCTGCTCACGGTTATTTCCTTTTATCTTTGCAAGATAAACAATACTAACGGCCATACCCTTGGGGAACTCGCTTACATGAGATCAGGATTGTATTGGTGTTAAGGATTACAGCCCACCTTTGGGAGTCCTGGTGCAGTACTATAGGATCAGCATTAGACCGCTAACTGAATGGTCAATAGTTCGATACCACCAGACACTCCTTGGAAACCCTATGCCGAGTCGTGATGGGTCAGAACTGACTTGACAGAACTTAACAACAATAACAGTCCACCTTTGCTGTGACACTGCAGAATAAGCACTAGACTGATAATGGCACCAGCCACTCTTGGAAACTCGATACAGGGTTAGTCACTATGAGTCAGAGCTTGAAAACACAACAAGCCCACCTTTAATCTTCTCAGCGATTTATCACATCAGATCACACCTTGGGAGATCATCACACAACTCTATATCATTACGCAACTGTCAAATCACTGAGAATCATGACCCAGCCAAGTGGACACATACTCTGGGGGACATAATTCAATCTATAGCAGAGGTAAAGTATTGGTACTTGGGTTCCAGTTCATGCCTACAGATGTTTATTCTAAACAAACCGTGTTTAAACATGTCTCTGGAATCAATGATGGCTGTAGACAAAGCCTCTCAGTAATACATTTGAATTAGTCTTGTTGTTGTTGTTAAGTGCTGTTGAGTCAGTTCTGGCTCATAGTGACCCTGTGTAGGATTTCCAAGGAGCAGCTGGTGAACTTGAACTATTGACCTTGCAGTTCAAACTGACCTTGCAGTCCAGCGCATTAACCCACAGCGCCACACCAGGACTCCATATTAGTCTCATTAGGTTTCCTTTTAGAAAATAAAACAAAAAAGCTCCAGACTTCTTGCTAGATGGCAGACTAGGCAGATGCACTACACAGACTCTACAACAAACATACGGAGACCTAACAAAACAGACACAGATGATCATCTTAGAATCCTGAGCACTAGAGGAAAGATTAGAGAAGACTTACTGGGAGGAAAAGCTGAGCAGGGTGGCAAAAGAAGGAGACTTGAATGGTTGATCAGCCTGACACAGTGTGACCATCTTAAACTTTTGTAAGCAGCTCTGGAGACAGAAAACGGCCTGGCAGAGCACATTAACACGGCCCTCTGGGAAGACGCCATTCCGTCTTTTTCCCCATGCTCTCCTGGTGACCAGAGGTGTAGCCGGCCTCCATACTCCTCCACTCCCAGTGCCCCCGCTGCTCTCTGGGAGTTCCGAGCCTCACTGTTGTGAGGCACATCAGTATGAGGCATGTGCCGCCTGTGCTGCCTTGGCACCTGGAATCAGGACTCGGCTTCAGACCTACAGAACCCACAGAGCCACCAGACCAGCAGTGTTGTTGTTAAATGCTGCCCAGTCGGTTCCAATTCATAGCATCCCTGTAAAGAATTTACAAGGAACTGCTGGTGAGTTTGAACCGCCGACCCTGTGGCTCAAACCGACCTCGCGGTCCAGTGCTTTATCTCACAGCTCCATACTGGACCAGCATTAGGCTTACAGAAACCCTCCTAACCAGCTACCCACTTTGCTCCCAGCTGCCCTGTGATCCTAACAGACCCTGAAACCGGCTATGTTAAAGACCTCCATGAACTACTTCTCGATTGAGTACCCTGAACAGAGAGAATTCCTAGGCCTGTAAGATCTCCATCATTACATCAGTCTCCTTACACTCTCTGTGAGAAACCCACAAGTGCTCTCCTCTTTAGGTCCAACAGTTACACTGGGGGGTTCATTTTGGGGTTGTTTTTCCCTCTCTCCTTCCTTGTTTTTGTTGTCATATCTGTATTTAATTAATGCTTGTATGTCAATGTGCTCTTAGTCTCTCAACAAGTGTCTCCTGTGGGTGTAGTTAGAGAATGGAAGCATATGCACTGTTCTCCATTCATACAGCTCAGTTTAGGGCATTTCCAGAAAAACAGAAACTAAAAGGAATTTATAATCACCAGAGCAACTTTATAAAATATACTAAAGGGCATTCTTTGGACTGAGAACCAACATCAACAG